CCAGGTCCCCTCACATCTCCTGCCCTTTTCCCCTCACAGTTCCTGCCCTTTTCCCCTCACATCTCCTGCCCTTTTCCCCTCACAGTTCCTGCCCTTTTCCCCTCACATCTCCTGCCCTTTTCCCCTCACAGTTCCTGCCCTTTTCCCCTCACAGTTCCTGCCCTTTTCCCCTCACATTTCCCTCCCTTTTCCCCTCACATCTCCTGCCCTTTTCCCCTCACATTTCCCGCCCTTTTCCCCTCACAGTTCCTGCCCTTTTTCCCCCTCACATTTCCCGCCCTTTTCCCCCCTCACGTTTCCCGCCCTTTTCCCCCCTCACGTTTCCCGCCCTTTTCCCCTCACGTTTCCCGCCCTTTTCCCCCCTCACGTTTCCCGCCCTTTTCCCCTCACGTTTCCCACCCTTTTCCCCCCTCACGTTTCCCGCCCTTTTCCCCCCTCACGGTTCCTGCCCCGTTCGCCTCAGGGTCCTCCCATTTTCCCCCTTTGATTTATAGCCTTAAAATGCTATCCAAGAGGCATTTTTGCCTCAATTTAATCCTTAAAGTAATGGAAAAGGAGGGTAAAACTGGGATTTGGGGCAAAACAGTGGAATTTGAGGCAAAACAGCAGGACTCTGGAGCAAAGCAGCAGGATTTGCCGTAAACCCAGGATTTTAGGGTAAGCCAGCAGGATTTTGGAGTAAAGCAGTGGGATTTGGGGTACCTCAGAGACCCTGAGATCTGATATCCACAGACACTCCAAGACCCCTCCCGAGCTCCCCTAAAGTCCCCTCTGCTCCCTCAGAGCCACTATAGGGACCCCAAAGGCCCCCCCGAGCCCCCCAGGCCCCTCCGATGGCCCCCCCGAGCCTTCCAAAGCCCCCCACAGACACCCCGTGAAGACCCCTGAGACCCCCAGGGCTGGTGCCTTTATTGAGGAGGGGACACACGCCGGGGGGGACACAAACACACGGGGGGGTGTCCCCCCCACACCCCCAATTTTGAGGGGGGTCAGTGGTCCCCCTGCCACCAGTGGTAGAGCTGGTCCGTGAGGATCCCGGTGTAGGTGACCACGGCCGCCGAGCCCTGTTCGTATGCGACCCTGGGGGTGCACGGGGGGGGAGACATTGAGGCTTTTGGGGTGGCCCCGGGGAGGGGGGTTTGGGCCTTTTTTGGAGGGGGGGTCCTTACCGGATCCGCTGCTGGGCCGCGGGGAGGCTGAGGCGCTCCAGGAGGTTCTCGGCCGCCGAGCCCACCTGGCCCAGGTAGCCTCGGAGGTGGGTCAGGGGGCCCGGGGGGCGAGAGGGGGGCGGCCTGGGGGGGGGCAGCAGTGGTGGCTGTGGGGGGACGGGGTGAGACAGGGGGCTGGGGGAGTTTGGGGGGTGATGGGGGGTGA